AAAACTTGCCTGTTCGCCGCTGTTTCGGGCAATCACCTTTCACAAATGCGCATTGCAAGATGAAGCACATTAAAGACTGGTATTCCAGATAAACAAAAGGTGAAATTGCAACTATCTCTGGCAACTTTCATATTTCCTATTATATTTTCTTAAAATCGATACCTAATCAGTTGTAACATACACATGCTAATCCACTGAAAGACAATAAAAATAACCTTTATAGGATTCACAGGTACTGGTTTTCCAGGAATATGAGGCGTAGGTTCCATATTCATATCGAATGTGCTGTATTCAGGATAAGCGTCAATCAGAAAAGTTAAATCATCATCTAACCGCTTTTCCAACTTGATCACTTCAATTTTGGTGATTGTTGGCGTGTACATTTCATACATCACTTCTACTCCTGCAGTTTCTAGTATAAATTATCAGAACACAGAAAAACATAACAAAACTAAACTGATCTGAACCCATTATACTGAGAATTTAGGAACGCATGAGGAGAATTTTTGCCCAAGATCACGCTTTTGCGGTAGAAAAAAACGTGAAAAAATTGCACTTTTCTAGTAAAAAAAAATGCAAAATTTAAATCATATGAGGTGTAAAATCTAAATAGTGGATGCGCAAGGCGGCCAAAGATGGCAGTTGTTAGCCAGACCGGTATTTAGTCAACAAACGCAGTTTAGCTAAATGAATGTAAAATGTGGACAAATCAGCAACGGAATGCTGGACTGTGCTAAAATAAACATGTTGAGCAAGTTGACAGTAGCGATAAATGCTGGAAATTGCTTACATTAAGCAGTTACACTAAGGAAAAGGTCGTACGAGGCAGAAAACTCGAAATGGGACACCTCTGCTCATTGCAAAAACTTTACAAGAAGCGAAGTATTTCACAACATGAATTTTTTAAGAACAAAGAAAATGCAAGAACAAAGAAAATGTAACATCAGTAACCTATTCCCTCGATGACGTTCCTCAATGTGAACTGAGAGTGGAGGCCTTCCAGTTTACGGCTGATGCAAATACCCAAAAACCGATTCTTCAGGCCCATCAGCCTTTTATCGGAATAAGTTACGGCA